TTCACCATCGGCTAAGCAGCATGCAAACCGGGAAGCTGGTAATAAAAAGGTAGCTGTGCAGTTGAAGGACCATGAAGCCGGACAGATCACAGGTGTACGAGCAGCAGAGTGGTGGGACTAAAGGACAGGTTGCTTTGGAGATTTATCCAACTTGGTGCCGTTGAGGAACGGACGGGTGTTTGAGTATGAGTGGCTGGATTGCTGCTTTTATTCACCTGTGGCCGCGGAGGATCGGCCTGCTGGCGACGGAAAGGACTGCGTGATGGAGAGGACACAACCCCAAGTTGGGCTAGCTAAGAGTTAATTCTTCCTTAAACAGACGTATCCATTAACTCTGCCGCTCATTACTGCCCTACATTTTCTCTTCTTAGTAAATTTATATTTTTTTTATAAATTATTGTTAACCTTTTTTGGCTCGTTCTTTTAAAACCCTGCCCAAAGTCACTGCAGTTTGTTATTCAATAAATCTACCACTCAGATGCCGCAAATACAGTTAATGGATCAGGCAGGCAGGTCATTAAGGTTTTTAAAAACCTTTTTAAATCCCTTATTTGGAAAATCACATAGAGCTCTTTTTAGTCCATCTTCCAAATCATAAAGGGTCTGGTACAATTACAAATCTAAAGGAATATGGCTGTCAACCAATGATGACAGGCTGGGACAGCAGAGCTTTATTTAGCAAACAAGAGAAACTCCGTAAGAGTTGCAGAAACACACACTAAAGGTATTAGCTGGCATTTCCATAAATCTCTCCTTTATAAACAAATGCTCAGAATAACCTCACCATGGACTGATCTCCCTGCTGCCCTCTGGGTAGAGACTTTGCAGCATTCAATGCAGGCCAGCAGATTCTGCAACAGTTTCTTCCCCACTGACATCAGACTGCTGAACTGTTATAATGTCTCAGACTCTGCATCACACTGTTAACTGCAAACCAAAAGTACTGCATAGTTTCACCATATATATACTGTATTGATGCTCTGAACTTCCATATAAATGTGTTTTTTTGTACCATTTTTTCTTCCACACTGTTTACATTGGATCGCTGCTGCACTTAAAAAAATGGAAATTTCATAAATGCTGTACATAAAGAAATCTTGTTTTGTTTACACTCTGTGTATTCAAAATGACAAAAGTTGTCTTAGTCTAAATAAAGACAGTAAGGAAAGACAGAAGTAAGGAGTCTATTTTTGGTCTTTGCTACAAGCCATGTAGGGGACACAGCTAACATACAAAATTTGATCAGAATGGAGAATTTCCTCAACAAAAAACAAAACTACCACTGTACAGTACATAACACCAAACACACCATGCCTACTGTAAAACATCATGCAGTTGAACAATGTTTCAGTAGACAGAGCTAAATACAGAAAGATCAGCCAATAGAAGAGGCAAAATAATTGTAGGTTATAAGAGGGCTTTAGATGAGGTAGTTAAAGCACTGATTTAAATCCTATAGAGTCTGTGGCAAGAACTGAAAATTAATAATTTTAATAACAAAATATGCCCTCCATCAAATCTGACTAAGCTGCAGGCATTTGTAAAAACATGAACACAGTTTTAGCTTTTAAATTGTTCCTAGCCGAAATGGAAATTTCCAAATAAAATGCATGACCACACCAAACTTTTCAGAGTCTTATTTGTAAAACAGAAAATCCTCTGCCTTCCTGTTATGGTGTCTTAGATCATGATAAAAGTTATGTTTAAGTAACTTTAGCATTGCTTTGTCAGTTTACGTTCAAGCTTTCGAAAGCAAATCCAATTCATATATCAGGAAAGAGAAACCAACCTCATTAATAAAATTCGGTTTTTAGTTCCATGGTAGCTCCCACTGAGGTAGAATTTTTTTTTGCTGTTGAAAATATTAAATGAGGGCTGTTTTTTGTCAATGACATAATTCCTTTTACATTTAAGACTTGCACTGGTCTTGGTGGAATACTTTATTTTGCAGTCATATTAGTTGTAAGCTCAGGCTGCAGTGGGAAGGTAAATGTCTGATGGCACCAGGAAATTGTGGTAGGACAAAGGCAGGAAGTTAGGAGCAGAGTTCATCTCATTAAGGAGGCAAACACCAACTTATGGAAAGTACAGAAAAATACTTGGACAAACAAGAGGATGGGGGGCAGGTAGATTGGCTGCTAAGACTTTGTTTGCCTTTCAGTCTTAAATTATCTCATTTATGTAAGCTGGAGGCTGAATGAAGCCAAACTATTTTGTTTAAACATCTGAAATCATATTTTAGACCAGTGTAGCTTGATATAGTTTCTAATTAACAGTACTTCAGTTTCTAGATTTTAGAGGTGTACTCTGGTGGGGCAAGAACCGCTATAAATAAATAACGATAAACTAGGGATGTCCAGATCTGATATTGATAGCAAAAATCAGTCCGATATCAGCTTAAAAAGTATTATTAGAATATAACCGCCTGCATCTGATTCATCCAATATAAGCATGCTGCTACAATCACTTTGCTTCTGTTTAAATTTACCGTAACCCATTGGTTAATAATAAATGGATCAGCTGTTCTCATACCAGTTGCTGTTTATTATTGTTTTCTATTTGAGTAATATCAGTTTAAGCTTTTTCTAACATTCCAATCTATAAATGAGTGATAATCGTAATGTATTATTTGTGCTGATATTGCATAGGATCAATATTGCTCAATAAGCAAAGCTGAATTGCTGGAATTGTATCGCAAATGAAAAAGTTCTATTGAGACATTCCTTATAAATAACATGTACTAATGCTGGTGAGTGTGGATCATTGTTAGTTTATATTCTATAAGCTAAGCAGTCAGGATAATATATCTGATAAAATAATCAATTGTTCACTAACATATATAGAACTGATGTAATAAATAAGTGGCCTGTGTTTATATAGTCCTTTTTCCGGTCAGGAGACTTTACACTACATTCAGTCATTCACCCATTCATTCACACACTGATGGTGGTAAGCTACATTGGAGCCACAGCTGACCTGGGGCTCACTGACAGAAGCGAGGCTGCCGTACACTGGCGCAACAAGTCCCTCTGACCACCATCAGTAGGCAATTCAGGTGAAATGTCTTGCCAAGAACACAATGACAATGAAATCCGGAGCCAAGGCTTGAACCAAAAACCCTCTAGTTGCAGGGAAAACTCCTGCATGTGAAGCCAATGTTGCGCCATACATGCAAATTTTGTTTTTTTTTTGTTTTTTTACAGGCTGCCAAGAAAAAGTTTAAAAACATGCATGAATTCAAGAGACTGAACCAAAACTCAGAACCTGCTTTTTCTGACTCATGCCTAAACAGGTTGAAAGGCTGGAGTAGCACAAGAACCAGCATCTGTCCAGCCAAGATATGGAGTGAGCTCAGTGAGACTCAGATCATTTCTGATGTGGCAAAACTGACAGAGCCAATAGTATTTCACTTTGGACTGTTTTCTTTTTCTTATCTTTACTAACAGTAAGCCTTAATATAGTTTGGCGTTAAACCTTTTGCAAGATAAAACTTAACTTAACTTAATTAACAATAGTGATTGTTTATCTTTAAAACCTTTTTTTTAACTGTGTTCATGTTGCCATTTACTGTTTGTTTTTTGGTTTTTTGGTTATGAGCAAACATATCGTATCACCTGAATGAAATAAGTGGTTTTAATGACTTTGCAAACATTTATAAAATGGTCAGAAGGTAACTCAGTCATTGTGTTGGAGCAGTTGTATCCAAAACATTTACGTCATCAGCTGTTTAAAACTAGTGAGGTGTAACTAGAATTAGATAATTAGAAATTAGATTAATCTAATTACTAGACCTTACTCACTCCTAATAATAAAAAAAACAGTTTCTGGGAGACATAAAATTTTGATTTGTGAATAGTGCACAAATGAGTTGGCTAATTAGCAGATTTGGACTGTTTATAGTCATAGTGACACTTATTTCTCTTAGAAATACTGCAAAGGAAAAACTTAATCATGTTAGCAGCAATTACTAGCAATACTAATTTGCTATCTTAGCTCAATATTTTATTAGATTAACTAGTTGGATGTGTTGTTTTAACATGTATTGTAGTTTATATGAAAATTTTAACCAAACTAACATTTTAGCTGAGATTTAGTGCTTGGCATTATTGTTCAAGTAGTTAGATTGTTGTTGTTTTTTTCACAAACAAGCTAAAAGTTTAACAATTAAAAAGCATTCCATAAAAGTTCAAGCTAATCTTAGCTTTAAATCAATTTAAAATTGACAAATTGCATCTTCTATGTTTATATCTAATTTTTTCTGTGACTTTTTTCACAAGCTCTTCTGCCTATCATTGATGGTTATGTTACCTTAAACTTTTCCCAAACTGAAAAAAAAAATTATTTGAGATATTTTATCTATCCAGATTAAAATTAATTGAATTACTTAAATCATGTCAATTTAAGTTTAATTGCATAAATTGTTCAGTGGCAAATAAAGCTTTAATTGATCGGGCCCACAGACTAGAAGAGAGCATTATTTCATGACAGCTTAGTTTTAAAACAATATAAGGTTAATTTTTACATGTTTTAATTGAGCTGAGAACAATCTAACCTTTATCAAAGCAAAACTGAAGAAATTGATCAAAGATTTCTAAGACATATTGAAGAGAAACAATATCAATTAATTGTTTGAAGAGTTAATAAGCATTGATAGCAGTTTTACATGTTCCCTAACATAAATAACATTGTCTATTTCACTGTAGGATACTGTTGCTGGAACTTAAGTAACAATAAGCCTGATTTAAATTATTTTCCATGCTTGCTGAAATGTTTTAATTAAATCCTCGAGCAGAAAGTTAACAAAACCAGGAAAAGGGCACATTTTTAGAGAAATCTTATGGTCATCTCAAAAAAACCCTAATTAATGGGACTAAAATCTTGAATTTAATAGGCTGGATATATATTTTTTATATTATTCTGCGAATCATGCTCCACCTTTGCAACAGCAGCTTTTGGATGATTTGACATAGTTTCACCAGAGCCTCAAACTGTTGTCTTACCTCTAAACGTGACACTGGCCAGAGGGTCTGAACGTCTCAAGTTGTTAGCCCTCTGAAGGACGCAGCGTAACATGGCTAAAGCAGATTCAAACAAGGCTCTGAAGACTGTAAAGCTGAGAGAACTCCCTCAGAGTTCACAGTTTCAGATCTGAATGAATGAAAAGTGGCTGAGTTCAGAGGAAGGATCCAGGACCTTACATAACCAAAAAAGTGAGCTATGTAATAATAAAGAGGCATTCACAGAAATGGACCTTGAGTGGGCTGGTAGAATGAAGATGTCCTTTGCTGTTTATAAAAAGATCTCCACCAGATGAAGTTTTTGATGCCAAAAGCTGAAGCCGATAATCCACAGATTGTCCTCCACCCTTGGCTCTGCTTCGATTAAAATCTACAGATTAAAAGCTCCTTTTCTAAAGCGATCTTTATGGTTTCTGTCTTGTTCTGACTCTCTCTGAATCTACTGTGGAAAAAAAAGAACCAAACACGCCTGTCAGGAACGCACACCTCACATCCAAAGGAAATCTCAACATTTCCTGTGCTCTTTTCCTCTCTTATCTCCTGAATGTTTCCTTCTCAACCAAATATTTGCCAGAATAATATCTGTTTTTAGTCCCTTTGTTCTCCCTTTTTTTAACTTGTTCCTTTGGTAAATGCTTAGGTCTGATATTAGTTGCATGTTTTTTTTAGCGAGTTGGCATAAAGTTCTGTTGCTTCCAAAACGTCTCAAGCTACATTATAACTTGTTATAACTTTAAAGTATTTCCCGTAATCTGGGAAAGTTTGCTGTTTTTTTTTTTTTCTTAAGATTTTAACAAAAATGTATACATCACCACTCTTAGTGAAGATTGATTATAGAAAACTATAACATTTATTCAAGGCAGTTATTGGTTTTTAAAACATAGTTATATACAACAGGATGTTTGGCTTCAACTCAACATCAGTTACCTTTTCAGACAAATTGTTTGACCAACCTTGATTTGATAATGAATTATATTTTATTCAAAAGTCACTTTTGCTAGAAAAACTAGCACACCCCATAACATAGTGTCACCTACTGGTGACAAACTCTATCTACAATTTAGATTGTATATAAAAGCATATACTGTAGACACGGAGCCGAGAAGTTAAAATTAAAATATTGTGGGGTATTGTGACTATTTGAAAAAGATACAGAAGAAAAACTGATTAAAAAAAATAAAAAAAATGGGATATCCAGTCGTTTATTTCTCATGAATTGAATCCGATATTTCTATCTAAAAGATGATGGATGGATGTGGATAGTTCTTGCTATTCAAACATTTTTTTAATATTGTTGATCTTTCTTGGAAGTTATTTAGGCTGCTTTTTTCATTTACAAATGTGTTCAATTGTATTCAATCGCTGAAAGCCAACTTATGCCACTCTGAGGAGAAAATTAAAGTTGAAGTGGGGACAGGGACAGTCTCAATACTTTTTTGCATTTGACTTTTTTATTTTAGAGATGGTTGGAATTATCCATCCATCCATCCATCTTCTCCCGCTTGTCCGTCAAGATCATGGTGGGGCTGGTGCCTAACGCAAGGAATCTATGGGTGTATGGAGAGTTACATCCTGGACAGGTCACCAGTCTATCGCAGGGCAAAACAAAAACATACAAAGATGTACTACCATTCATACCCACTTACACCTAAGGACACTTAAGAGATGCCAATTAACAAAACAGTCATGTTTTTGCACTGTGGGATAAAAGCTGGAGTGCCAGAAGAGAGCTCTTCCATGCACAGGGAGAACATGCAAACTCCATGCAGGAAGACCCTGGTCCAGGGATCAAACCCTGGACCTTCTTGATGTGAGGAAATAATAATTTAATTACAAAATTTACTGCAAAAGTAAACCACCGTGCAGCCCCGGTCAGATCTAGACTGTCAGGTCTAAGCACCTAAAACATCATACATACATACAGGGAAAGAAAGAAGGCACAGAGACAATTAATTTAGTTTTACTCGTGAGGAAAGTAGGAATTGCACAGTTAGAGATCTCCACCCCAGTCTGCCGGTCCCCGCGTTCTCCTCACAATTTATTGAAGTCAGGGGTTCCCTGCTTACAACAGCTGAGACTACACTAGGGAGGGGAAACAAGACAAGGAATTCAGACTTGCAGTCTCAGTAAACATATCCTCTAAATCTCAGGGTTCAATCAAAGTTTAAGTTGTTGTAGCTGTTGACCAAAGTTCAGCAGGTTTGGTGCAGCTCGTAAAACAACCACAACCTCCCCAAAAGCAAGTCCACAAATTACAGTATACTTTAGAAAAGGTGGCTATGATCACATGAACATAGCACACAGCTTTATGCACTACACAGATACATTTATATACAATTATTAACATAGACAAACCATTTTTTTCTGTCTATAAATAGTGAAAACAATTTAAGGCCAATTAAAGAATTCTTTAGTTGGCCTTAATTTTTTAAATAATTCTTTAAAAAATCTTCCAAATTTCCATATAAACAAGTTATAAATATACCGGTACCAGATTAGTGTTGATAAAGGGACTAGTATTACTATAGATTGCATGACTACTTTCTTATGTTTTTAATGATCAACATAAAAATTTATTTTTAAATCTGCTTTTTCACAGTTATGTAAAGGAATGAAGAGAGACACATGCTCACAAACACATCAATCTCTGTTACCTACCCTAATTGGATAAGGTTTATTAACGCATATTGAAAAAAATATATAATTCTTGCAGCACAAACAAGCAAATGGTTTTGATACCAATTATGTTGAATTGGAGAAAGGTTGAGCTGATAACTTAATTCAGGCCTGATGATGCAGGCTTAATTTCTTAAAGACAAAACTCATATAGGTGACACTGATGATATCAAAACTGTCTGCTGCATATTAGCATTCTTATGGAAAGGATTGACATTCATAAGAGTCCCATGGGGTGAGGTGTACTATGAGAGGGATACAATTGAAACAACAGGAACGTTTTTTTTTTTGGCTAACGTTAACAGTTAGTATGAAAATAAAGGGTAGTGGAATAGGCTAATTTCTGGGTAAAAAAATTCTAATTATTTAGTCAGGACTGCTAGCATTTGTTGCTGACAGATGAGCAGTAAATGAGTCAACAACTGATCAGGATGTGTTTTATTCAGGTCCAAATGTTTGCCTGGATAGTCATAAGCCTACATCACACAATGAAACCATAGTGCTTGAACATGATCAAAACTTTAAAGTCAGAGACAAGTAGAACAGGGAGCTCTATTAATGCATCGGCTCATATTACAGGTAACTGAGAGGGGGGCAGTGATCTAATAATAGCAATGAAAGCAATGAAGAGAGGGTGAAGATAGAGGGCTGTTCCATTGATTGAAAAAGGCTATTTATTCTATTTTAGATTTTTTTTTTTAAAGGTAAACTTGTGAGTTTCATTAAACACATAATGAAATATTAACTCTGGTAATTTAACCAATAATGACTTAACCCTATAGTGAATACCTGCTCTAATGGGTTCATGTCACCAAAAAAAAAAACAAAAACTGAGGTAATAATCTTCTTACAAAAGGAGAAGAGATCCTGAGTTAACTCACAGCTTCAGCTACTGAAAGCTAGAAACCAGTGACTATGGCTGAAACCTCTGTGTCATGATGGACTCAGACCTGACCTTCCAGAGGCACATAAAGGTAGTTACTAAATCAGCCTTTTATCACCTGAAGATCATCTCCAGGATTAAAGGACTAATGTCCAAGCAGGTGAAAAATTCAGTCAGGCATTTATCTTTAGTAGAATTACTGCAACAGTGTGTCCACAGGTTTACCTAAAATGTCCTTAAGACAGCTGCAGCTGATCCAAAACTCTGCTACCTGCGTTCTTACTAGAACAAAGAAAGTAGAGTCCACCAGCCCGGTTGTGAAGTCCTTACACTGGCTTCCTATAGTTCAGAGAATAGAATTTAACATCCTTCTGCTAATCTACAAATCAGTGAATGGATCAGCAGCTCAATACATAACGAATTTGTTGTCAGTGTACAAACCTGCCAGACCAATCCCCAAACATGGAGAAGCAGGATTTAATTCCTATGTACCACTCATCTGAAACAAACTCCCAGAAGACTGTAAGTGAAAAGAAAGCCTTAGTGCCTTTAAGTCAAAGTTAAAAACATATTTGTTTAAAACTGCCTTTGACTGTTAAAGTTTAGCTGGTAGTGAGGTATCCTTGTTTGAGGTTTTGTTTGGTTTCTTGGTGGTTTTTTCCTTACAGGGTGGTGGGCTGATTTGTTACAGTTGGTACTCCTTGTCGGAAATCAGCAGGGTCCTTTATATTGCAGCAGTTTCCTAGAGCAAGCTGCCAGTTGGTTCTGCTCTCTAAGTGGTATACAGGTCAAACTCAGCGAAGCTCCAACTGAGTCCTCCTAACTCTTCCTTGCACTCATCCTCCCTTCCACAGAACCCCCAAGCTCGCTTGGATCAATCCCACTTCCTCCCTACAGGACCCACTACCCTGCCTATCCACCCTCCATCCAGCACAAGACCGTCCACCGGAGAGAAAAAATCAGAAGACACGGGTTCCTCTTCACTGCTTTCAGAACAATTTCCTTTCTTCTCCTCTGGTCAATTATCCGAAACCTTCTTCACCATTTCTCTGAATAAACCTTCAAAATCTGCTTTTTGGTCAGTTATTGTCACTTGTTTAAGAGTCTCTGGTTCAAGCAGATGTCATGATCTTGGCACCTTTAGGCTGGGTTTTCTCCTTGTTGCTTTCTTCTGCTTTGCTCTTGCCTGCACTCATTATCCCTTATTGTATTCACCTGTTCTTGCTGCTATTTAAGCCTCTGGACCCTAGCTTTTGGAGCCAGATTTTTCTAGACTCTAAGCGAGAGTAACTCTAGCGTTACCTGTGTTTAGTTCTACTTCTTTCTGATCTGTTTCTGCCCCCCGAGTTCTGAGTTTTCGACCGCCCATGTTTGCCTGTTCTGTGTTTCTGGGCTGTTACCTGGATTCTGCATGCTGTCGACCGTCGACCTGTTTTCTGACTACGGCTTGGATTTACCATCCTGGCTCTTTGGGTTCCTATGCTTGCACTAGCTGCTATTAGATGTTTGACAGTCTTCCCCAGCACTTAATGTTATGCTAATGTGTAATATTTCAAGGGTGTTGAATCTGGGACAAATCTAAAACACGAAGAACAGTGTCCCTAGTAAAGTACCCAGGGTGACAAGGTCCAGAATATCTCTACTTTGCTCTTATTCTACCGTGCCTCTGTGTTATCATTGTCTGCTTTGCTGTAACTGCTGCAACTGCTGAGGATGTAAAATACTGGTTGAAACAGTGTTGGCACTTAACAGAGCACCGTGATTCCGAGGTATGTGCACCAAACCAATTTAAAAATGGGAGACCATTTGCCTGAGAAGCAGGATTGAGACTCACC